TGAAGTGGATACACATGCATCCAAACAAGGCCTAAGAGCGGGCGTTTGATCCATGTTTCATTCATTCTATACGACTTGAAAATAACACCATGAAATTTCTTACTGTGACTGGCCTAAGCATGATATAGGTTTTATTTGCATTTAATACAATGACACATCAGCAGATTTGGTGTGGCAAGTTAATTATGAAGAGAGAAAAGGAGAGTTTCAAAAAAATGTATCTAAATAAAACCTGTTCCTACAGTACCAATAAAAAAACTGACGTGACACATAGTCTTGGTAATAATGCGATGAAATTCACCACTGAGACCGGCCTTATATGTTGTACTAAATATTACCTAAGTGTTAACAGACTTGGCCTCTTTTGATCAATCTAGCAAACCGAAGTCACTTTTATTTTCCGAGAGAAGTTAGCACTGTCGCTTGCTGATGTCAATGATGCGGTGCCAGTGCAATCTCGGATCAGCCAATGTACCTGCCTGTGGGCCTGATGAAACTGCAAACACATAAAGAAAAGACAAAACACGGGTAACTACGAACCAGGCCCTGTTTCGGTGTGGAACGAGGTTACTGGATAGGATAGTGGTGACCGCATGCTTTGTTTCGGTGTACAAAACGTCACCAGTCTCAATTCTTCAGATTGTTTATCATTTGAAAAATCACGTCTAACTTGCGTTGCTGATTACGCGTACTCGGAGCTGTCATAGCTGCCATGTCACGGATTACGCAGGCTCATCGGTACAGGTTACTTCATGGTTATGTACTGCAGTTTGTAGTACAACTTGCTCCTGTGCAAAGTACACATACTGATCCTGTGTTAGATTGCATCGACCATTAATTAATCGCGAGCTGAGACTTTTTTCTCAATGTCCATGAGGATATATGTGTGCATGGTGGCCTCACATGACGTGCTCGTCGTGTAGAGAAAAGTCCACCTCAGGAGCACATGGTTATTCAGTTCAGGTGGCCTCCAAAAGTCAGCCGCAGCAGAGAAAAAGTCCACCGCAGGAGTAGTCAACATAAGAAGCTAGCTTTATTTGGACTTGTTATCGTGTCTACAGTTCACAATACCGGCCGCAAATCGGCGTAAACCGGCCAATATCGGTCCCACTGGTCCCCTCTGGTATTGTCTGATTTCGGCCGGTTTTGACGGGCATTGGATAATATTTGTAAATTTTGATTAAAATTTGGCCAAACACTATGGCAAAGGCAAAATTCTCCGAGTGTGTCTGGCTTCCCCGAGTGCCAAAAATCGGGTACTCGGGAAAGAGAATCTTCCCCTAGTGTTGCACTCGGGGAAGAGAGGTTTTTCCGAGTGCCGCAGAGATCCTGGCACTCGGTAAAGAGTAGCACTCGGCAAAGGCCCTCTTCCCCGAGTGCAACACTCGGGGAAGATCGGCACTCGACAAAGAAACATGTTACTTGACGGTTCACCCCGCCCACGCTGTTAAAACTTAAAAAAACAAAAATTCTTCCCCGAGTGCCAGGGAAGGCACTCGGGAAGAAAACTTTCTCAGTGTCGAGCAGGACACTCGGGAAGAGGCTGCCTTCCCAGTGCCCTGTCACGGCACTCGGGAAAGAAACCTCTTCCCAGTGCCTTCCCCACACTCGGGGAAGAATTTTTTTTTTTTTTTTTTTTTTACTCATTTTTTTGTGAGGCCTTCCCACATTATTTAAAACTGCCTGTTCAAATTTGGGACAATTTTGACTTTTTGTGTTATATTTCGTTAGTTTTTTTCGTTTCGTTGAATTTTTTTGCATACTTCGAATTTGAACTGCAGGTGCATGAAATAATGGAATTTGGTGATTAAAAAAATTATATTAATGATATTTGGTGTATGTTGATGCCTTATCCAGGAACTCGCATGAAATGTCGAGCATCTTGTTGACGTAACATGACGAACAACTTGCGGAAAAAGTGTATTTAAATTATATAAAATCCGAACGAAGTCCGAAAATCATGAAACTTGTCTGGGCGTCGTGTTATCGCATGTAGAGGCTATGATAAAAAATCGAGAAGGTTTCGATGAAGTTGTAATGTCGGATGCCTAAAACCCAGACATCTCCGCATTTCCCGCAAGTTGTCTGATGCCTAAAACCCAGACGTCGGATGCCTAAAACCCAAACTTGTCTAGGCGTCGTGTGATCACATGCGGAGATGTCTGGGTTTTAGGCATCCAACGTCGCAACTTCGTTGAAACCTTCTCGATTTTTTATCATAGCCTCTACATGCGATAACACGACGCCCAGACAAGTTTCGTGATTTTCGGACTTCGTTCGGATTTTATATAATTTAAATACGCTTTTCCCGTAAGTTGTTGGTCATGTTACGTCAACAAGATGCTCGACATTTCATGCGAGTTCCTGGATAAGGCATCAACATACACCAAATATCATTACTATAATTTTTTTAATCACCAAATTCAATTATTTCGCGGTTCAAATTCGAAGTATGCAAAAAAATTCAACGAAACGAAAAAAACTAACGAAATATAATACAAAAAGTCAAAATTGTCCCAAATTTGAACCGACAGTTTTAAATAACGTGGGAAGGCCTCACAAAAAAATGAGGTAAAAAAACAAAAAAAACAAAAATTCTTCCCCGAGTGCCTTCCCTGGCACTCGGGAAAGAGGCCCTTTCCCGAGTGCTAGGACAGGGCACTCGGGGAAGACTTAAAAAAAAGGCCCAGCAGGCCTTATCTAAACCTAACCGAGCACCCCACACCCGCCAGCCCGCCCACCCGTGCGCTACCCCGCCCGCATTGCCTCCCTCCTTGGCTTGCCACACACACTTGCATCCCACAGCCTTCCTCATGCCCCACTGCCAGCCCCCACACAGCCATTGCCACATGCCCAGAGCCCACGCCCAAGCACCCCCCACAGCCCCCATTCACCATGCGCCTCCCGAGATGAGATGGTGGCGCGCCCCACCAGCCCTGTTGTCCCTTTACGCGTCGAGGCCCGTCCAGCCGGCGCGCCCCCTCCCCGGCCCCTGTGGCTGGCCCCGAGGCAAGCCGCCTGGCCCCTGTCCGTACGTCTGTCCGTGTGGAGCCCGGCCCCTGGCGCTGGTCAGGGAGCAGAGAAGGAGGAGGTAGGTGGAGGAAGGAGGAGGAAGGAGGAAGAAGAAGGAGAAGAAGAAGGGGAAGGGGAGGAGAAGGAGGAAGAAGAAGGGGAGGAGGTGCCTCCGTCCACGCCACGTCCCGTCCGTTGTCGGCGTCTTCTTCTCCAGCGTGCACGCCCGCCAACGCCAAGGTATACTGAACCGTCCCGTTCGGTTGTCGGCCATCGCGCCGTTTATGTGTTGACGGCCTTCGTGCGGAATTGTGGGCGTGTGGGCCATCGTGCCCCAAAATGTGGACGCCGGCCATCGTGCCGACGGTTTTTCTTGCAGGTTATCGAAACCTCCCCATCCAGGGGAGGTTCTGCCGAAATTTTGTACTTATAGTGCTGTTTTTCTTCTTTTGCAGAGCAGGACCTGTCGCAGGGGAATCGGAGCACCTAGGGTACAAGCTTTGGAGGCCCAGCAAGATGGTTTGCTCAAGTTCGTGCAATAACTTGGGCAGAAACAAGGTTGGGAGATCCCAGCAGAGCTGCTTGCACCACCACCACCATATCGTCGAGAGTCTACTCCGGTGAGTATGAGTACGGATGTTTTACTTTCTTTGCTCATGCTTAGTGTCAAACCTAGTGATGGCCTTCGTGCCGGATTTGTTGATGTGTCAGCATTCGTGCCGGATTTGTTGATGTGTTGGCCTTCGTGCCGGAAATGTGGTTGTCGGCCTTCGTGCCGACGTTTTTCTTGCAGGTTTTGGAAACCTCCCCGTGCAGGGGAGGTGCTGCCGAAATTTTCAACTTTTCTTTACACTCCTTACATTTTTATCTTGTCACTCATGTGCAATCTCCTCTCTTTTTTGCAGCATCAATCGGGTGGGGCGTCGAACCATGTCGAAGGGTCGCCGGCATCGCACGTCGGGCCATCCCCACCTGGACCGTCGCCGGGATCGCACGCTGGGGCGTCCCACCCCTCACAGTCGCTGTGAGCCGCCTTCGGAGTCGTTTTTTTGTATTGAACTTGTGAACTTGGAATAGTGTGTACTTTTGAACGTGTGGTTTGTAATATATTGTGGATTTCGGACAAATTTGGTCGTTTGTGATATATAAATGTGGTTTTGTGACATATTGGTGTTGATTTGTGGTTTGTGATATATATATATATGCTTTGTTGTTTACATGGAAAAGCAAAAAACAAAAAAAAAAGAATTTTAGAGGTGGCTTCCCCGAGTGCATGTGATGTGGCACTCGGGGAAGAGGGATTTTTAAAAAAAAAACAAATTTCTTCCCCGAGTGCCTGAACTGCGGCACTCGGCAAAGAGTATTTAAAAAAAATTCAAAAATCTTTCCTGAGTGTTGCACTCGGGGAAGAAAATTAAAAAAAAACAACGTCGGCCGTTGGCCAACGGCGTCAAGTCTTCCCCGAGTGCCAGCACGGCACTCGGCAAAGTCTTCCCCGAGTGCACGATTTTTGACACTCGGGGAAGGCGACTTTCCCGTGAGAGGATTAGCCGGAGGCTCTTCCCCGAGTGTTGCACTCGGGGAAGGCTTCTCCAAGTGCAACTGGGCCTTCCCCGAGTGCAACTGGCACTCGGGGAATCCATCAGTTCCTGTAGTGAAAGTTTAATCATCCTACCGGTCTTACCAGGCCTCTCGGATATTTTTTGCTTACACCAGAAATCGTACAGGAACTATAGGCAGACGCACACAGCTCATCCTAGCAAAAGTCCAACTCCTACATGCACCTGTCATCGTGTCGACACTCGACACCACTAGCTCCACCAGGTAGGAGTAGCTGCCAAGCATACCCAGTTTACATGGTCACACTCTCACATGGCTTTGCATATATATACAGGAGTAGATATAACAAACGCTGACAGCCCAACAGCTCTGCACAGGAAACAAGAAAGGCCACACCATTTGCATCGAGAGAGCGAGATCGGAAGGAAATGGAGAGAGCAGCAGCGGAGCCACACTTCGTGCTCGTTCCGTGGCAAGGAACCATCAGCCACATCATCCCGATGACCGACATCGGCCGCCTCCTAGCCTGCCACGGCGCGGCGGTCACCATCATCACGACGCCCGCCAACGCGCCACTCGTGCAGAGCCGTGTGGAAGACCTCGCGACGCCGCCGCATGGCGCGATCACGGTCACCGCAATCCCGTTCCCAGCGGCGGAGGCCGGCCTGCCTGACGGCTGCGAGAGGCTGGACCTCCTCCGGTCTCCCGGCGACGTGCCGCGCTTCTTCGCTGCCAACAAACAGTTCGGCGAGGCCGTGGCGCGCTACTGCCGCGGCAGCGAGGCGATGCTGCGGCTGCGCCGACGACCGAGCTGCGTCGTCGCCGGGATGTGCCACTCGTGGGCGCTCGGCCTGGGGCGCGAGCTCGGCGTGCCGTGCTACGTCTTCCACGGCTTCGGCGCGTTCGCGCTGCTCTGCATCGAGTACCTCTACAAGCACAGGCCGCACGAGGCGGTTTCGTCAGCGGATGAGCTCGTCAACATCCCTGCCCTCCCGGCGTTCGAGTGCAGGGTATCACGTTCGCAGCTACCGCCGCATTTCGCGCCATCGACGACCATGGGCTGTGGGACGATGCAGGAGATACGGGAGTTCGACGTGGCCGTGGACGGCGTGGTCGTGAACAGCTTCGATGAGCTGGAGCACGGCTCCTGCGCGCTTCTCGCGGAGGCGACCGGCAAAAATGTCGTCGCCGTTGGCCCCGTTTCGCTGTTCCGGTCACCTCATGTCGATCCACAGGCCATGACAGGCGATGCCAGGCGGGTTATGGAGTGGCTGGACACCAAGGAGTCCAAGTCCGTGGTGTACGTCAGCTTTGGCAGCGCCGGGTGCATGCCACCGGCGCAGGTCATGCAGCTAGGCATGGCACTAGCATCGTGCCGTTGGCCTGTGGTATGGGTCGTCAAGGGCGCCGACTCCATGCCCGACGACGTCAAGAAGTGGTTTCGTGAGAGCTTCGACAGCAACAAGTGCTTGGTAGTGCGAGGCTGGGCTCCCCAGGTCGCCATCCTGGCTCACCGCGCCGTCGGCGGCTTCCTCACGCACTGTGGGTGGGGCTCGACTCTGGAGGCCATTGCCGCCGGCATGCCCGTGGCAACTTGGCCGCTTTTCGCCGAGCAGTTTCTCAATGAGAGGCTTATCGTGGACGTGCTTGGTGTTGGGGTATCTGTAGGCGTGACAAAGCCAACGGAAAATGTCCTCAGTGCTGGTAAGCTCAACGGAAGCAGAGCGGATATAGAGGTGGAGGTGGGTATGGAACAAGTGATGAAGACTTTGGAGAGGTTGATGGATGAGGGTGACGAAGGGGAGCAGAGGAGGAGGAAGGCTCAGGAGCTCAAGACGAAGGCAAATAGAGCATTAGAGAAGGGTGGGTCCTCCTACATGAATTTGGAGAAGCTAATCCAATCTTTGGTTTCATGACTGATTAATTAAGATGTGGCATTTTATTAGGTTTTGCTGAATAAAATAGCTGGTGTGTACAGCCTTGTGAATAAAATAGCAGGTTTATATCATTTATTATGTTTGAGAGACTTATCTGAAGGTAGTGGTGGAGGACTTGAGATGTGATGCAGTGATGGAGTCAAACCACTATATAACCTACCGTGTAATCCAAAATTGAATATCAAAGAACAACAGAATTGTTTCGCCACAATAATAAAATTCACTGTTGGAATAATTACGGTTGCCGTACAAAAGCAATTTGAAGTTACAGCAAAGTTACTCCTAGAATACAGGGCTCGTTTGGTTTCGACATAATAGCATGTCTACCAGATCTCGTATATTGCATCTCATATAATATAAGTTGTTTTAGGAGAACATTTTAAAATAAAATTAGAATAAGAGTTTCTAAATCCCTTTCTAATCCTTGGTTTTTAGCAAGATGAGAAAAAATCTCTCTCCAACAACTCATAATCCATCATCTAATCTTTTCGAACTTGAGAAAAGTTACCTTGTTTCGCGTAATGTTACGCGCCTTCGAGTCGTGCATATCTTCTCTCCCTGCACGTGTTTGTCGGACAATCTAAAGGTGGAAGGACATGGAAAGAATAAAGAGTAGGAAAGAGTTCATGACGTAAATGTACGAGAGAGAAAAAAAATTATATAAAAGTGGTTAGGATAATTTAGAAATAGTATAGATTTCTGATGTAAAATTGTCTTATATATTTAGGAGTGAATTATTAGAAACTTTTGGAGATGGGCTTCTTTATTTCTTCCAATACTTTTTTATGAGTTTTAAAACTCCATGTTTTTGGAAAGAAAATATTGTATACTCTTGGAGATGCTCTAAGAGAGCACTGTCTCCTATATTTCATTGGGGATAGGGAAGAGAGGGTTGTCTGCTTTATTTAGGAGTTTGTTTCTTTTAGGAGATCTTTAAAAATTATAGGTATGTTGGGGATTCGTTTCTGGGACGCCAGTACCGGTGTCGCTGCAAACAAGCCCCCAGCCCAAGCCGTGGCTAGGACTCGGCTGATTTGGAAAGGAGGAATTAAGGGGGGATTTTTAGTAGATTGGTTTTATTATTGTTGGCAAGTGCTCTTAATCTATAAAGGGGTGTTTTAGGATTGTAATCCGTTATCGAAGAAGGAATAAACCTCCCTGTGTCGGGGTGGGGTTTTACCTTTTAGTAGGAGATTATAGGTAAAACTCATGCAGAGTCCGGGATAAATTTTCCTTTCCTTAAAAAATAGAAGAATTGATAAAAATCGAGTGGTTATATAATTTAGATTATTATAATACATGAATATATGATATAAATTATTATAATCTCATTCTATATGACTTAAAAACAATGCCATGAAAGTTCTTACTAAGACTGGCCTAAGCAGCATCTTGTTTTTATTTGCATTTAATACAATGACACATCGGCAGATTTGGTGTGGCTGGTTAATTACGAAGAGAGAAACAGAGAGTTACGTAGAGTTTTATCTGAATAAAACCCGTTACCACAGTACCAACACAAAAAACTGACACCAAGCAGTCCAAGTCCGTGGTGTACGTCATCTCGATCCGCAGGCCATGACAGGCGATGCCAGGCGGGTTATGGAGTGGCTGGACACCAAGGAGTCCAAATCCGTGGTGCACGTCAGCTTTGGCAGCGCCAGGTGCATGCCACCGGCGCAAGTCATGCAGCTAGGCATTGCACTAGCATCGTGCCGTTGGCCTGTGGTATGGGTCGTCAAGGGCGCCGACTCCATGCCCGACGACGTCAAGAAGTGGTTTCGTGAGAGCTTCGACAGCAACAAGTGCTTGGTAGTGCGAGGCTGGGCTCCCCAGGTCCCCATCCTGGTCACCGCGCCGTCGGCGGCTTCCTCACGCACTGTGGGTGGGGCTCGACTCTGGAGGCCCCGCCGGCATGCCCATGGCAACTTGGCCGCTTTTCGCCGAGCAGTTTCCTCAATGAGAGGCTTATCGTGGACGTGCTTGATGTTGGGGTATCTGTAGGCGTGACAAAGCCAACGGAAAATGTCCTCAGTGCTGGTAAGCTCAACGGAAGCAGAGCGGATGTCGAGGCGGAGGTGGGTATGGAACAAGTGATGAAGGCTTTGGAGAGGCTGATGGATCTGGGTGACGAAGGGGAGCAGAGGAGGAGGAAGACTCAGGAGCTCAAGGCGAAGGCAAATGGAGCATTAGAGAAGGGAGGGTCGTCCTACATGAATTTGGAAAAGCTAATCCAATCTTTGGTTTCATGATTGATTAATTAACATGTGACATTTAATTAGGTTTTGCTGAATAAAATAGCTGGTGTGTTCAGCCTTGTGATATGTGATTTACAACTCATCAAATTTGTTTCATGTCTTTGAGATTATATAAGCAGGTTTATATATATCATTTATTATGTTTGAGAGACTTATCTGAAGGTAGTGGAGGACTTGAGATGTCATGCATTGATGGAGTCAAACCACTATATAACCTACCGTGTAATCCAAAATTGAATATAAAATGAACAAATTGTTTCGCCACAATAATAAAATTCACTATTGGAATCATTTTTTTTTCGAGATCGTGCCTTGGCACGTTTTTCATTAAGCAGGAGTAGAAAGTTTTGTTACAGAACAATCAAGTTATGGTAATCCAAAGATTATCGAAACCCACAGCACACACCTCTCACACTTTTTGCACGTGGTTGTGATTACACAAGATACTATTTTGCGACTAAGATAAGGATCCACCTCAAACCTCGTCTATCACGACTATATCCAAGTTCATGGCCTCCGGGTCAAATTCCCCACCGAAAAGAAGCTGCAGCGCCTCCTGCTTGGAGGCCGATAGTGGCGCTTGGAAGGTTGATTTATACTTGCGCACCGTCTCAGAGTCGACGTTGGGCGAGCTTGCCACGACTCCCAGCTTCTGCTTTAGCACGCACTGAGCCTGCTTGGTGGAGCGCGCCTCACGTGGCTTCGCAGCAAGGTGGTCGCTGCGCCGCAGCGGCAGTGAACGAGAGATCAAGGTCTGAGTCTGCGCGCAGCCTAGGCGGACGGCGGATGAGGGGTGTCTACAACGGAAGGCAAAGCCGCGCCTCTAGCGTTTCATGAAGCGGAGGGGGTACAGGTCCTGGCGACATCGGCTAACCCGCGTCGTCATCGCTCGAGGAGTCCCTCGGCGCGCCCAACATCCCCATTTCCCTAGGCGAAGTCAAGACCGGCTGGATATCGCTAGGACGGTCGTCGACCATGATGGTGACCATGTCCACATGGCCTGGTTCTGAAGCAGAGCGACGGTCGGAGGGCAGATCATGGTCTTGGATTGCCGCTTCAACCAACATTGGGTCGAATGTCATGTCTGTCGCGGGGTATGGCAGAGGCATCGATTGGCCCCAAGGTTCGAAGTCTGCCTTAGCCTCAAGTCGAACTACCTCACACGACGAGCCATGACGCCCAACTTGCTAACGCTCATGTGCATGAGGTCCCCTGAGCTAGGGACAGATGGTGGTCACGCCCTCGGACCTGTGGAACACCGAGGAAAGGTGATCCCGGACCTCCGCCGGCAAGACGGTCGGCCGATTCGCACCCACGAGCGCGATGAGAACAAGGGAGAGGTCCGCTTCAGTCGTGGTGAGCTCCGCGTTCCTCGAGATGATGAGGACCTTGACCTTGGGGCAGCAATCGGTGTCGCCCGGTGGTGGTGACTGCGATGGCGTGTTATCGTGGTGCTGAGTTGGCGCCGGTGGCGACGCGGTTGATTGTCGTTCGTGAGTAGGCGACGATGGTGTTGATACATGGCTTGGCACCTTGCAACGTCCCGATTGCCTTTTGGGACGCGCCTGTCCGTCGTGGTGACGTGACGTCCCAGCGGCCTGTTGGGTCACGGTGGTCCGTCGTGGCGAGTCATGGCTCGTCGTGGCGCACGACCTCCTGGCTGCCTATTGGGCCGCGCTGCTCTGTCATGGCAATGTGTTTTTGGGGCACCACGACTAACCCCAGCCTCTGCGAGCAAGGGCATGCACAGTGGCAAACGACCTTGCTTGCATAGCCTTGGTCGATGACCGGTCCCCCAACAGTGGAGGTAATGGGACCGGGAGCGACACTGAGCGGCGACATGGTCCTGCGCGAGGCAGTTGAAGCAGAGACCCACAAGATCCGGTGGGACAGGGCGGTGGCATTTGGGCGCCGTTCTCCCCAGACCATGTTGCTGGCGATGACTCTTGACGATTTGGAATCCATCGGCATCGACGTTGGGCCCCTGACTGGGCTGCCGAGACATGTCAGGCATCGACGCTCTACACCGCAGGCCGAGGTGCTGGTGCATCGGGACTCTTGCCGCCCGCTGCGGACCTAGGCGACGTTGCGCGGGCACTCGCGCGACCTACAATGGTGGATTCTCACTGCCATCGGGCGCACGGGTCCCACGCCGATGACACCGCTTCCCCTTGGCAGCCACCAAGTAGTTACCCGCCACGGTGACTGTGTTCTGTGCTGCGTCTGGAGCCCCCACCGGAGGCGGTGGTGTGGCCCGGAGAGCCTGTTCAGTAGCGTCCAGGTACGACAAGCGTGTGGCAGAGGCAAGTTCATTGTCGGAGTTGCCTGCGCAGGGGTCTTCTTCCCAACGTTGGAACTTACTCCAGCCAGCCGACTGATGGGAGGGGAAGAAGGGTAGGGCATACGGGGAGAGGGAGGACAACGAGGACCTGCCCGAGCATGCGATCATCACTGGAGAGGTGGCTACCGGTGGCGGTGTTGACGGCCGTGTTGTTGCAGACGGCGTGGACGCCCACGTTGTGGCTGACGGCGTGAACGCCCACGCGGCTTCACCGGCTTCGTCGTCTTCGACGTCATCTTCACCCTCCTCCTTGTCCTCACCTTCCATGAGGTCCTCGATGATGACCATCGTCTCGTCGTCCATCCTTCCAACCGTGGCAGGCACCGTCGGCGAGGCACCACCGGCATCACCGAGGGGAAGGAGTGGGTCAGGGGCCAGTC